GTGAATGGATTGTTTGACACCACACGATATCCTTAATACATTGCAATAGAGATTATTACTCTAAAATTGATACTCCTGAATATTTGAATGTTGAATCAATCACTAACCTTTGATGATAAATTCTCGACTCAATTGAATGATTCAACACATTAGTGAAGTCAAGTAAATGACAATGATTTGAGTGACTTTTCTTTGTTTCCTTCAATCATGAATTAGACAAATCGTTGCATCAAGTAAACGATAGCGATTGAAAGCAATTTTCTTTGGTTGCCTTCATGGATTGTTTGACACAACATGATGTCCTTAATAGCAATTAACATGAGATAAGTTGATGTCCTCGATACATTGAAATAGAGATTAATACTCCAAAATTAATGCTCTTAAGTATTTGATTACTTCTTTTAGACACTGATTCAATAACTAACTTATTTTTAATTATAAATCCTCGACTCGGTTGAATGATTCAAAACAAGTAAATGACAATGATTTAAGTGATTTTTATTTGTTTTCTCAATTTAAGAATTAAATAAATCATTAAGTCAAGTAAACGATCATGATTAAGAGTCACTTTCTTTCGTTATCTTCAACGAATAGATTGTTTGACAAGATACTGATTATAGATAAAAGGTCTATACAATTTTTAGCTAATACAAATAAGAAGTCAGTTACACCATCTTGAATGTACATTGTGTCTAGAATATATCTTAGACAAGTATAATTAATACATAATAGTATAATTTGTGTCAGTTGGAATTAATTAATACATCTCGTAGACAATAACAATACCATCTTCAATAGTATATTAATAATTAATACTTATTATTATAAATAATAAGTCATCTCCAACATCGTATTGTCTAGTAAAAATCCATTCATTCAAAAGATAAGTATATGCCACCTTCGTAATAAAAAAAATAAAAAAACACATAGGAGTAATTAAGTGCACGTCTATAACTACGAACAATTATTACTTTCCTATTGTTTGGTACTAGGAAAATGGATATATTTATACACATCTGTTGGGATTGAACGTGATTGAAGATAAGTTCATCAGCCTACCTCCTCTGGTTAATGATTGATGCTGATGTAAGATGTCGAAACAATTGCTCCATGTATAATTTTCAACAATATGTATGACACTTCAAATATTTATCATAAATCATGGTAAATTTCTCAATTTCTTTGGAATTTTTTTTTATTAAAAGAAAGATAACTTTCATTGAATCAGAAAAAGGCAGCAGAAGGGTTGAAAGGTATGCCTATGGCATCCTGCTTATAACATTGTGAGAACCCAAAGTTTCTAGCAAAAATAAATAATAATAATTGGTGCACTTTGCAATTTAAGAATCATACTGTTTTGCCATAAATTACATGCTACACTGACGAGGGCTTTTTACTTCCACCACCAATCTCCAATCATACTGTTTGGATGTCTGCTTAGATATGTGGTTAAGCTCGGTTAGTGATACTGTCTGATGTATAATAAATACATCATTTCTCCAATGGTTTGACTGACTGGTAGTAGATTAGGATTATGATCAGGAATGCGACACCAGTGGTGGAAATTAAGCTATGGAAAAGCCTCCACCATATGTGAGTTCCCAATTTGTTTTGGACATTGACTTGCTTCCACGTTGCTTGACTTTGACTAGTGACATTTTTGTTGGACACATCTTCGTGTGAAGCGTTCAGCCTCATCCAGGAGTTCCCTCCTGACAACTTTCTCCTCTAACGGAGCACACACGCATACGTTAGGCAAATATGAGCTTATATACACATATGAGAGCTGCCGGCTTTAGGGGTAGAGCTCACCGTTAAACATGGGTGGGAGAACCCCTCTTCTTGTCCTCACCTTTTCTCTTGCTGTTCTGAGCATTGAGTTTGGGATTTCTCATGGCTGCCGAGAGACGGAGAGGAAAGCCCTCATCGACTTCAAGCGTGGACTTCATGATCCTTCCAATCGTCTCTCTTCCTGGGTCGGGGAGGACTGTTGTGCGTGGGAAGGAGTTGGCTGCAGCAACATCTCTGGTCATGTTATCAAGCTGGATCTTCGAAATAGACGACGAATGCATCTATATGAAGACTGCACTCATCAGGAGGTGTACTACTTGTCGGATGATGACCCAGGATGCAAATGGGCAGTGCGTGGTGACATAACTCCATCACTGCGTTCTCTCCAACAACTTAATCGCCTGGACCTCAGCGGCAACTATTTTATGCATAAACCTATCCCCAAGTTCTTGGGAGCTTTCAGAAGACTAACATATCTTAACCTCTCAGGTGCAGGCTTCGTGGGTAGAGTACCTGACCAGCTCGGAAATCTATCCACTTTGCAGCACCTCGACCTTTCTTATAACCGCTATTGGGATGATGAAGGTGATGGCTTCTTCAGCTTGTACCTTGAGAACACGAGATGGATCTCTATGCTCACTTCCCTTCGGCACCTTAACATGAATTGGGTCAATTTGACAAATGCATCCAACTGGTTGCAAGATTTGAACGTGCTACCGCGTGTTCAAGAGATTGAATTAAGTTCTTGTGACTTAGGGACCTTTCCTCGTTCGTTGTCTCATGTCAACTTCACATCTCTCACCACTCTTGATTTACGATACAATAATATAAACTCCACCATACCAGATTGGGTGTTCAATATTACTAGCCTCGAGTTCCTTTATCTTGGTGGGAATGACCTGCATGGATTCTTTCCTGATTCTGTTACAAAGTTAACGTCTCTCAGGGCACTCGACTTGTCTGGGAGTGTGTTCCAAGATGGCTTCATGCAGGTAGCTCCTATATCCAATCTCTGCAAGCTCCAAATTCTCTACCTGAGCCAAGTGCCTATCAATGATGTGCTTGCCAATCTAGAAATGGTTTTCTCTGGATGTCTTAGGAATAGCTTGGAGGAATTGAACCTCAGAGGCACCCAACTGAGTGGTTCCTTTCCGGATTGGCTAGGGAACATCAAGAATCTCAAATCTCTTGATCTTTCTATCAACTCCCTCTGTGGATCAGTGCCTGCATCTATCGGGAATCTATCATTGCTGCAACATTTAGTTTTATATTCTAATGATTTGAATGGGACGATTTCGGAAGGCATCGGACAACTGAAGAGCCTTGTCTATTTGGATCTCAAAAGTAACTCGTTGAGCTTATCGGAGGATGACCTGGCTAATCTATCAAATTTGAAATATTTGGGCATTTCGTACAACTTCATTGAATTGAACAAAAGCGATGATTGGATCCCTCCTTTTCGGCTTCAAAGTCTCTTCATGGATTTCTGCCAAATCGGGCCCACGCCTCAATTTCCAAAATGGCTCCGAACACAAACTACTCTTCGTCAACTATATTTGTCAAGTGCAAGTATCAAAGATATGTTTTTCGATAGGCTTCCTTCTAGTCTTGAGTATTTGGATCTCAGAAATAATTCTTTATCAGGACATCTTCCTCCAAAAATATTAAACATGATGCCAAGACTCAAATATTTGCATCTCTCCGACAACAAGATTACTGGTGAGATGAATTCTTTCTAGATATTAATTTCTCTCAAATAACTTCTTCTTAGGGCATTTTCATCCAAGAATCTCAAACACAATGCCAAACTTACTATCGTTTGATTTATCTATCGTTTCAAGCTCTTTATTTTTTCTTTTTGAAATACTCCAATTTTAAAAATGGCTCCAAACACAAATATCCCTTCATGTTTTATATTTTCACTTGCAGGAGTAAAAGACATGATTCTCGATGGGCATCCTTCTAGTCTTGAGCAATTGGATCTTTCTTATAACTCTCTCAATGGATCACAACTTGTATCTCTTGGAAACCTCTCTATGCTGCGATCTTTGAATTTAGGATCCAACAATTTGAAGGGGATGCTTCCGGAAGGCATCAAATGGTTGAAGGGCCTCGTAGATTTGGATCTCTACGATAACTCATTGATCTTATCGGAGGACGACCTGGCTAATCTATCGAGTTTGAAATATTTGGACATTTCCGACAATTTCATTGAATTGGATAAAAGCGATGATTGGATCCCTCCTTTTCAGCTTCAAAGCCTATCCATGGATTTTTGCCAAATAGGGCCCACACCTCAATTTCCAAAATGGCTCCGAACACAGACCACACTTCATCAACTATATTTGTCAAGTGCAAGTATCAAAGATATGTTTTTCGAGAGGCTTCCTTCAAGTCTTGAGTATTTGGATCTCTCCAATAATGAGATCACTTATGATGCACAACAATATTTTCCAAATCTAATTATGTTGGATCTCAAAAATAATTCTTTATCTGGACATCTTCCTCCAAAAATATTAAACATGATGCCAAGACTCAAATATTTGTATCTCTCCAACAACAAGATTACTGGTGAGATGAATTCTTTCTAGATATTTATTTCTCTCAAATAACTTCTTCTTAGGAATTTTCATCCAAGAATCTCAAACACAATGCCAAACTTTCTATCGTTTCATTTATCTATTGTTTCAAGCTCTTCATTTTTCCTTTTTGAAATACTCCGATTTTCAAAATGGCTCCAAACACAAATATCCCATCATGTTTTATATTTTCACTTGCAGAAGTAAAAGACATGATTCTCGATGGGCATCCTTCTAGTCTTGAGTATTTGGATCTTTCTTATAACTCTCTCCATGGATCACAACTTGTATCTCTTGGAAACCTCTCTATGCTGCAATCTTTGGATTTAGGATCCAACAATTTGAATGGGATGCTTCCGGAAGGCATCAAATGGTTGAAGGGCCTTACAGATTTGGATCTCTACAATAACTCGTTGAGCTTATCGGAGGTCCAATTGGCTAATCTATCAAGTTTGAAATATTTGGACATTTCATACAACTCTATATACTTGAACAAAAGCGATGACTGGATCCCTCCCTTTCAACTTAACACCCTTCGCTTGGGATTCTGCCAAATATTGCCCAGGCCCCATTTTCCGAAATGGCTCCGAACACAAACCACTCTTGATGAAATAGATTTATCAAATACAGGTATAAAAGAAACGATTCCCAACTGGCTTCCATCCGGTCTCGAGTATTTGGATCTCTCCAATAATATGATTGGCGGTGATGTACCATATTATTTTTCAAATCTAAATATACTGGATCTTAGCAATAACTTGTTATCAGGATATCTTCCTCTAAACATATCAAACATGATGCCAAGTCTGGAATATTTGTCTCTCTCCAACAACAAGTTTACGGGTGAGATGCCACAATTCTTTCCAAAACTGAGATATTTATTTCTTTCAAATAATTCATTCTCAGGAAATCTTCCACCAAGAATCTCAGACACAATGTCAAGCTTACAATGGTTCGACCTATCTATAAATAATATGAGTGGTGGGATTCCCTTCTCTTATTGTCAATTGAGGAATTTGGAAGGGCTTCAGCTTTCCGAAAATAACTTGTCAGGAGAGGTTCCTAATTGCTGGAAAAATTCCTCAAATTTACTTCTTTTAGACTTATCAAGCAACAAATTAGTAGGTGGAGTCCCTGATTCGCTCTGTAATTTGCAAACTCTAGAGTCACTGCACTTGAGTCACAATAATTTATCCGGGCCAATTCCTCATTGTTTAAAGAGTTGCACAGAACTAGCTACTCTCGACTTGGGCCACAACAATTTTATTGGGAACATACCAACTTGGATTGGAGAAGGCCTATTGTACCTGAAGACACTTAGCTTATGCTCCAATGCCTTCACCGGCAGCATTCCTCGATTATCTTCTCTACCATCTCTTCGTATCTTGGATCTCTCCAATAACAATCTTTCAGGAACAATACCACAGAGCTTTGGGGACTTAAGTGCATTGAAAAGCGCTCCTATGTATCATTGTTGTTATTTCAAAATCACTCATCTCTACGAGGAAGATATGTGGCTTACTATAAAAGGAAGAGAAATTAAGTATACCACCATCAGACAACTTTCAATTGATACACTTATTGATCTCTCCAACAATTACTTATATGGAAACATTCCTGAAGAATTGGGGAATTTGCATGGCCTGCGAAGCTTAAATCTATCTAGAAATTACCTAACAGGAGAGATACCAAGCAACATTGACGGAATGCAACAGCTAGAAATCCTCGACCTCTCAAGAAACAATCTCTCGGGTACAATTCCTTCAACCTTGGCAGCTTTAAATTTTTTGAATGATTTGAACTTGTCATATAATAATCTCTCGGGTAAAATCCCCACTGGGAGCCAATTGCAAACTTTAAATGATCCATCTGTCTATAATGGCAATCCAAATCTATGTGGACCTCCTCTCCCAAAAAATTGTACAGCAAAGGCTAATGAAGAAGAGCAAAATGAAGACTCTTCTAATAGCAGAATGGAAACACTTTGGTTATACACGAGCATCACGCTAGGATTTATTATCGGATTTTGGGCGATTTATGGAAGCCTTTTGTTGCGACGGACATGGAGGATCGCATACTTCCGTGCCATTGATAATATGTTTGACAAGCTATACGTGATGATGGTAGTGACCGTGGCAAAATACAAAAGGAAATTATGATGACTCTTGTTAGAGGAGGTCGAGATGACTCATCCTACTTAAGCAATAGCAATAGTATTGGTATCGATCAGTAGTATGTGATATGCTCATGATTTGCATGTCTTGTCATAATATACCGTCACATGATTTTAATTTTTCCTTTTTGTGCATGCTATAGTGACTCTGTTATATGATCTGTTGATGTTTGTCTACGTAGTTGTTTGTCAAAACTTTATGTCATCAAAATATGAGTCCTCTGCCTATGGTTTATGAGTTGTTATTTGCTTCGTGCAGTAGTGGTTATGGTGTTCATATATCTATGCTTGTAAGGTGATTCATAATGCAATTAACAAATTCTAACTATGTTGTTAGAGGCGGTCCACATAACTTATCCAACTTAAGCAATAGCAATAGTATTAGTATCAATCAATATGTAATACGCTCATGGCTTGCATGTCATGTCACAAATCATTAGAGTTTTAGCTTCACGGCATCCAGAAAAACCATGTGAACCGTCGCATGGGTTTCATTGGACTTATTATTGACACTAACAAGAAGTAAATTACATTATCATCACATTAAATTATAAGATGGATCATTGGAGTAGACTCAGAGGAAACAAGAAGCTCATCTCCACATGGAGACACCTCACAAATGTTTAATTATAGCACCACTTTATTCCTGCTACATGACATTAATTCTAGGGTGCTCATCATAATACATATACATATCTATCTATCTATTTATTACATAATATAAAAGAGTAGGAAGAAATAAAGACTTATTATTTCAAGGGTGAAGTGTATCGAGACATGTTCCACATTGGCAGTCATCATGTGATTGCGCAAGGTGTTGACAAAAGCTTAGATCTAAACAATCTACATTGAGATTATAATGTGTATGCTTGTAATGAAGATGTTTTTTTTCCCCTTTATTTATGCAAACTTGTTTTAAGTTGATAAATACTTATTTTGATGTTTGACAAATTCCCTTCTCAGTATCACCACACACCTTCAAATTTTCCTTCTTTTTTCTTTCTTCTTTGTATTATCCCACTAGTTTTAGCAAACAAAAAAGATTATGAAAAGTTTTTTTCTTTTAAGTACAGAAATATATGTAAAATATCATAAAATAACTCAACCTCAGATTATCTCACATTTTAAATTGACAAGAGTAACATGGACACCAAATCAATCAAACAATTCAATAAGAAATATTCCGTTTGGCTTTAGACAAACCTTACACACACATTATTCTTTGTATCGATTGCTACCTAAAGGAGGCACACTCGCTGAACATCATGTGCTCTTCTTCATCCTAAACAAATATATACGTATATTATACATAAGGAGGAAGCAATATGGTTTATTGGACCATCGATTATTGTTTTGGTAAACGGCTTCACTAGTAATATCTTAATTGATAATACAATGGGCCTTTCTCGGCTTAAATTTGCGTAATTGAATCCTTGTATATTTAAATTAAAATTTCGAAAAGATATGCAAAAATACTATGAACATTCTTATTGTCACAGAAGAGTTATTAATAATTGAGTTTCTACATCTCTATTCCACCGGTCAAACACAAATGATTAAAGTTTTTGGATTTTGCTATACTAAGGGATTAATAGGAAAAGACATATGTCTTTAATCAAAACTTTGACACATGGTTGCCAATTTGTTTAAAAAAATAAAAATTAATTTACTGAATTTACTAATGTCAACTAGAATATGAATATAATATATTCTTTATATCGTGAAATACCATTCTACTAACTACTTGCGACTAGTACTTGAGTGTACCCACTTTTAAGTCGTATATATGATAAATTATTTTTACTGTTTTACCCCTAACCTTCGTTCTGTCGTGCTCTAGTTATGGGTTGTCTTCACTGCATTATGGGAATCATCATCACGATGATATTATTGTTACACCATCTCCGTTTTGCTTTGTCATGGCAATGACTCCCACGACGATCACCTCCACAGCAATGACCCTCGTGACAACAACCTTCGAGACCCCTAGAACCTACCTCTTATGACTCCTTTATTCATGTCTCAATCGGAGTAATCGAGGGAGGGAGGTCTTAAAGGTAAAGTGATCTTAGTGTACTGTGACAACAATGACAAACATATGATAGAAATGATGAACAAGATGGACGAGAGCATGGAGGTTCCTCGAGGAGGCAACGTGACTTTAGATGTACTATGATAATGAAAAATAAGAGTGAGGGCGAGGGTAAGCGTAAAACGATGGACAAAGATACGAGCATAAAGCTAACGTTAGGAGCAAGAGGCAAGAGGTGGAGGGCAAGGTGGGGTCAAGATAATCTCTTCGTTTAAAAAAATAAGTAATATTTTTCGAAGTACCGGCAATCATTCTGAATGGAATACACCTTGCAATTCACCTAAAAACCATCTTCTTGATGGGTCTCGCAGTACGCGAGCGTTAAGAAAAAGTAAATAAAGAAAAGAAAACGCGTTCTCAAATTACTAGTAATCGAGATTGGTATGGACCTCGTGATTCACGTAAAATCCATATTCTTGATCGAACCAGCAATACGCGAGCATCAAAAGAAAAGGATAATCAAGAAAGGGAAGCGGCGTACAAGGGACGGTAACCATGAGACGGATCTAAGAAGAGAAATTTCTCTCGGTAAGGAATTTCCATTCCAATCTCGCACCGGAGCTCCTGCTGCTGCTCGCGTTGCCTCCGGTACCGGAGACAGACTCCAAAGAAGACGAGAGCGGCGACGAAGAAAAGATCACGTAGATGAGGAGGAGGAAGAGCTGCGAAAGCGGCCCTCTCGTCGGCGGCGACAGCTTCGACGGGGCTTCTGGAGACCAAGGTGCGTTCGCTCGATCTTCTTCGCCCGTTGGGCCGGAATTCAAATCTAACAGATCATTTGGGGCTTTCTTGATTCGACCCTGAGGTACGGGCTCGGGTTTTGTCGGATTCGATTTCAAGATTCGACTCACCAGTCTGCATTTGTATAACCTTCAAGAGTCTGAACAAATTCTGAAGAAGATTAGAGCTCAAAATTTGTAGAAATAAGATAACGTTATAAGTTGTTTCACAGATTAGATAACATGTTTCAGAACAAATTTGGGTACTTAGCTACGATGACACATCATGTGCCAACTTGGCAAAGCGATGGATCGAATTCATATGCCCCATGCCTTGAGCCTTCCATTGTGATGGTAACATAACGAAATATAAGCAATATACAACGGTACAAGCTTCTTGATCTGAACATTCTAAGGGGCAATGCACCCTTTACGATGGAGTTTGTCCTCCTTTTCTTCTAACTTAACGGACATTAGCGGTATTTTCTTTTTTTTAAATGGTGTAAGTATTCGAACATTATTTTGAGTTAGTTTTACTTTTATGCCACTTTTCTTTTAGATTTTGGTAATCAGTTTCACCTGAAGCTGAAAATAATAATCATATTAATTGGTTTAATATGAAAAAAATTGTACTAACACCAGTAATGTTTGTTTTAAGTTCGAAAGAAAATGACTTAATGAAGGGTTGCATTAAGTCATCGATAGTCAACATAAAATTATGTCAGATTTTATAATAAAATATTATATTAAAATCACTAATAATCATTCCAAACTTAGAAGAAAAGATGAAGGTTTGTGCTAAATCAATTAAAGCAAATGTAAAACCAACCATGTTTTATGTCACTTTTCTTTTAGATTTTTGTTATTTTTTTTTACTTAAAATGGATGATGATGATGATGATGCTAAGTTTGAAATGAAATGTAATATATTAATAGTGCTAATGCATGTCTCAAGCTCAAATAAAAAAATTGAAGAGTTACAATGTTACAATGTTACAATTTCCTAATGTTTTAAGTCGAAAATCTCATAAAAGATGTTACAATGTTCAGGGCCTAAATCCTGATTGTTTTGATGAAAATATAAATAGAAAATTAATCATATTCTATAATATTTCTCTAGTCCAAACGAATGCATTTTAATTCAATTGGAAAACACAAGAAGTTGATTGATGATATGATAGAGATACAAATTGGTTAGCTAATTTTATTTAGAATTTTAAAGTAATATAGCTAGGTGAAAAGAGAATTGATCTCATGAGTTCAACACTCTTTATTATATCTTTAAAATTATTTATTTGTCTTTTCTCAAAAAATTATACTACAAATACTTCAAATGTCTCTATATCCTATGTGGAAAAAACCACCATTTGCATTATTATTTGGCTATATACAATCAAGTCAGTCATGATGTACTCTTCTTTCTATGATAATGGATGAGGCATAACTTATGTAGACATCAACTTTCCACTCCTTTCAAAGATTAAACAAAATAAATAATAATAATTTTTAGTTATTTTTTTATTCATTGGTTACTCTTTTCAAAAAGTAACCAAATTATTATGGGGTCGAGTCAATTAGAATGATTTTTAATGATTTTTTTATTTGTTGATTACTCTTTTTAAAAAGTAGCCAAATTATTAATTGGGTCAAGTAAACGATAATGATTTTGATAACATTTTTCTTTGATTCCATTCTTAATCGTGGCTTTCTTTCATGAAACATGTCGTTATCTATCTCTCTCTTTTTCTCTTTTTCTTTTTTTGCCGTGAATTTCATGCTACATTGACAATTGAAGAGAATGATGGCTTTTGACTTCCACCATCAATCTCCTATCATATTGTTGGATGTCTATATCTGCGATCAAGCTCGGTTACGATCCGACTTGTGGTGAAAATTAAGCAATGAAAAAGCCGGCACCATGAGTGAGTTTTCAATTTGTTTTGGACATTGACTTATTTTCGTATTACTTGACTTTGACTAGTGACAATTTTGTTGGACAGATATTCGTGTGGAACGATTCAACCTCATCCAGGAGATCCCTCACAACAACTTTCTCCTCTAATGGGGCACTCATGCATGAGTTAGGCAATTATGAGCTTATATATACATATGAGAGCTGCCGGGCTTAGGGGTAGAGCTCGTGGTTAAACATGGGTCGGAGAACCCTTCTTCTTC